GTTCCTGCCAGCTGACAGCAGATCAGGAGCCCCCCTTCCCCTCCCCCAGCTGGAACCTCAGGGCAGTCCCAATCCTGCCAAAAAAATAATCAGCTAATCAGGACTGCTCCCAGGCTCTAGCCCTGGGACAATCACGATCAGCTAATCATTGGCAGACTGGGACTGCCCTGGGATCCAACCCCTGGGGCAATCCATCAACTGATCAACAGCCAGCTCTGGGGACCACAATGGGGCTTGAACTGGCCCCAGGGGTCCCTGGAACCAGCCTACAGTCAGGTGATTGTCAGGCACCCAGCTGGTGCAGGGGGAGCACAGGATCACGATCCAGGGCTCCCCCTCTACCAGCAATATGGCACAATTGGAATCTGATCTGTGATCCCACAATCACGGGTCAGATCCCATTTGGTCTTCAAATAAGTATCTGTCAGAGACCTAAAAGTCCTATAGATGACTATTCCTGCACAAATACTTTTCAAAATATACTTTCCCTTCCCCCAACTACAGAGAATTCTAGTGAAGTGTAATCATATGCTCTTTCTTCTACTTAGTCAGAATTAAATAGATCTACCTTCTGCTGAAGAATATGACTGCAAACTAAAGGTAAGGAAACATGTTACAACAAACCAGAGATAATTTAGGTTCTTTCATAGAATGTCCTTTAACAATGATTTCCTTAACTTCTGAAAAGTTTTTTTGTTTATTTATTTTATAGAGTGGTAGAAGCAGTCTACAGGAAGCATTCAATTTTGTTACTTAAAACTGAGTTGTCTTGGTTAGTTATGACTTTTCACACCAATGGCTACTGTTTGTATTTTCTGATTATAATTTAGATTTCCTTCAAATCATATGAAGTTTCACTTCATCAAAAGCAGCAGATTGTCTCAAACAAAGCCTGCACTGATATACAAAGGAAATCCTTAAACTTTTTACATTCCTAAATAGATTAGAAATGTTGCTTTTATGCTTATTGGCTATATACCAAGTTTAAGTTTTTCTTAATTAAGAAAAGTTTGCATGCAGCCATAATAGGGAGCCAGATCTTCCAGTTACAAGTCTTCCAAAAGATTTTGGGAACATTAGTCATTTTAACATCCTTTACTGATCAGCAGGGATCCGAGTTTTCTGTTTGCTGGCTAGGGGCTGAGGAGCAGAGAGGTTTTCAGCTGGCCAGGCACTCTGGCTGGGAGGGGGTTTGTAGCCTCCTCACTCCCAGCTGGAGTGCCCAAGCTGGCTGGGGGCTGAGGAAGCGGGGAGGTTTGCAGATCTGGGAGACGTTGGTGTCTCCCCCACCATCTCCTGGGAATGCACACTGACACTGGGAGCTGGCCCGTCTCAAGCCTGCAGCAGGCAGGCAGTGGCGGGGGGGGACTAGCTTGTGCTCCTGCTG